TAGCTTGTTGTGTGATGATTGTCAAGTCATTCTATTCAAATCTAGTGTTTGCATTTTGTTTTGATTTTACATTCTCATTTGATTACTCTACTCACAATATTTTGTCACGACATATCCATTTGCTTCCACATCACACTATCATTCTATCCCCCCAACGTACATTTCATTTAGCCTCAACACTCTCATTAGTACATATCATCACACTAACTATACTTAGATTAAGTAGTTATTTGCTTTGATTGAACTTATAAATTTCCTCCAATCCCTGTAGATACGACACTCACTCATCACTGTATTACTTGTTCAATTGTGTATACTTGTATGCACTTCACGTCTATATTTAATACTCACAAAACACAGACAATAATCTGTCACGGTTGGAGAGGAAGACGAGAGGGAGAAGAGGGAGACAAGTGATGAGTATTGAGGAAGATTGGGAGAATTGGGGGAAATGAATATTCAAGGGTTAGGGATTGAGATTGAATTGAAAGTAATTACCTGAGGGAAGGGCACGTGAGGAGCATGGAGGGAATTAAAATCACCCAGCAGATCCAGAAGGGTGGTCCAGCAGATACGGGTGGACCACAGGAAGCCTAGATGAAGCCCAATGCCTGTGATGATAATAGAATTGGTTAGAAGGATGTCCAGCTGGCATAACATATTTTATTATAATGTATGTAAATAAAATGGCTATGTAAAAACAGAATGGTTATGAAATGAATGTGAACTTTCTTCTCTCTGAATTCTCTCCTATTTTCTCATCTTTCTTTCAAATTCTTCTCTATTTCTCTTCAATCTATAACAAATTGGTATCGAGAGCCTGATTTTTCCTGGCTATTGATGCGGTAATGCCAAAGAAAAACCAAACGATGACTGAATCATCAAATTTTGCAGTACTACAGAAACAACTGGAGGACTTGACTGCTTTGGTTAAGTAGTCTCAGAATGAAACTAAGATCCCTAAATGGTGGGAGAATCAAGAGGAGCGTATCACGACCTTGGAGTCTAGAATGGCTATAAATCAAAGGTACGTGGAAGAGCTTTTGAGGATCTTGACTGGACAAAAAGGAGATCAAAATCAACCTGATGGGGAACAGGTACAGACCCCTGATTCATCTAACATGAGTGGGAAGCAAGTTGTACAGGTGATAATGATCAATGACAAAAATAGGTTTACTTATAAACCTGATGAGCCTGGAATTCTAAAATCTAAGCCAAATGAGTTACCTGTTCATATAACCAACTTCAAAAATGATAATCAAGTAGGGGAGAATAGTGCTGTTAGGAACAATACATTGAGCTTAGATATGGATAGAAGAGGTACAGGGGGTCTTATAATACTTCAGGGATTATGTTACACAGGCCTAAAATCGAGTTACCTTTTTTTGAAGGTAGTAATCCCAGAGGTTTGATACATAAATGCCCTAAGTACTTTTCATTATGTAGTATTGCTGAGGAGCAAAGAGTAGAAATAACTACAATATACTTAACAGGTAAAGCAGAAATTTGGTTTGATGGCTACATCATGCAAAAACATCATGTTACATGGCATGAGTTTGAGGTAGAGTTTACAAAGTTGGTACAAAAAGGGTCTGTGGAAGAGTATCAGGATAGATTTGAAGAACTATAGCCTCATATGCTTTTACAGAAACCTACTCTAGGTGAGGAATTCTTTGTCTCTCTATTTATTAGTGGATTAAGAGATTATATTAAACAAAGAGTCAAGGCCCTAGACCCTAAGACATTATCTGAAGCATACAAGCAAGCTAAACTGTATGAATTGTCTGTTGAATTTGAAAGTAAAAGAATGAGGCCAACTTTTAGAAACCCACCCTACCAAATTCCCTATATGTTCCTAAACCAACTCAGATACCATTTCCACAAAAGAGTTCGCCCACTTTGCCACAAAAACAGAATCTAATAGAGTACAGAAAACAAAATATATGTGCTTTAAGTGTGGTGAGAAATTTGTTCCAGGCCATCAGTGTAAAACAAAACAATTGAACATGATGATTGAAGAGGAAACTATTCTTCCTTCAGATACTCTACCTACTGATTCAGAACAGCCAGTCCTACAAGAGGAAGAGAGCCTAGAAATATCTATGAATGCTATCACTGGGTGTATTGGACATAATACACTAAGAATTCAGGGCAGTATCCTAGGCAAACCATTGAATATTCTAATTGACAGTGGTATACCCACAGTTTTTTAACACCACAGTGGGCTGAGGCTGGTATACAGGTGAATACACCTTACCCTTTGGTTATTACAATGGCTAATGGTCACCAACTTTATAGTTCAGCAAGGTGTAATAAAGTTGAATGAAAAATGCAAGGACACACTTTTGTTCATGATTTCAGACTTTTACAGTTGGGAGAGAGTGATATGGTATTGGAAGTAGATTGGATGAAACTATTCAGTCCAATCTTGATGGATTTCAACAAAACGACTCTTAGTTTTGTTCACCAAAATGAACAAATTGTTATACATGGTCAACAACAATCTCAATTTTTGTAGCAAATTTCATGAGCTTCTTTATTAAAAATGACGGCTTCAGATTCTGTTATTTTGGGACATGTGGTATTATTATCTATGACAGAAGCCTCTAAACCAATTCCTGCAGCTATTCAGTCTCTCTAGAAAAACAAGGCTATTTTGGGCCAAAAGGTCTTCCACCAGTAAGAAACCATGACCATGGTATTCCTTTTAAATCTAATTCAATTCTTGTCAATCTCAGGCTCTACAGATTTCCACATAACCAAAAGGCTGAAGTGGATAAGCAAATTGCTACTATGTTATCTTTTTCTATTATTCTGCCTAGTAGGAGTCCATTTGCCTCTTCATGCCTCCTAATTAAAAAAAAAGATGGATCTTGGAGGTTCTGTGTGGATTATAGGCAACTGAACATCATGACTATTAAAGATAAGTTCCCTATTCCTGTGGAGGACTTACTAGATGAAATTACATGGTACTGTTTACTTTTAAAGATTGATCTCAGATCAGGGTATTGGCAAATCAGAATTAAGGATGCATATATTCACAAAACTGCATTCAGAACTCATCAAGGTCACTATGAATTTAAGGTAATGTCTTTTGGCCTTACTAATGCCCCAGCTACTTTTCAGGCATTAATGAATGAATTATTTAGTTCATTCCTTAGAAAATTTGTGTTGGTGTTTTTTTATGACATTTTAGTCTACAGCAGTTCTATGCTAGCTCATATTGCTCATTTGCAAAAAGTTTTAGAGGTGTTACAAGCTAATCAATTATTTGCAAAGTTTTCCAAATGTTTTTTTGGACAGACCCAAGTGGAATACTTGGGACATATTATTTCAACAGCAGGGGTTGCTACTGACCCTAGTAAAGTGAAAGCAATGAAGAATTGGCCTCTTCCTAAATCTTTGAAGTCTTTGAGGGGATTTTTCGGATTAATAGGCTCTTATAGGAAATTTATTAAAGATTATGGTGTTATAAGCAGGCAACTGACACAAATGCTTAAAGCAGACAATTTTAAGTGGACTACTGCAGCTTTGACTGCTTTTGAAGATCTTAAAAGAGTCATGTGCACTGCTCTGTTTTAGCTCTTCAGATTTTAATTAGAATTTCTATTTAGAGACAGATGCAAGCTCAGGAGGTATAGGGGTGTTCTATCCCAAAATGGTAGACCTATTATATTTTGAGTAAGCCCTCAGTCTTAGAAATTCTACTCTCTCTATTTATGAAAGATAGTATTTAGCTATTTTATTAGCAATATCTAAATGGAGAAATTACTTAAAGGGTAATCCTTTAGTCATTAAGACTGATCATGAACCTCTAAAGTATCTTTTCGAGCAGAAGTTGACCACTACAATTCAAAAGAAATGATTAACCAAGCTTTTGGGTTTGGATTATACTATCCAATACAGAAAAGGGAAATCCAATGTGGTGGCAGATGCTTTATCTAGACAATGGGAGGATCATGGACAGTGTTTGGCTATGGGCACAACTATAATTATTCCTAGCTGGGTGCAGGAGGTGAAGGCTAGTTATAAGGAAGATTTATTGGCTACTGATTGGATCACTAAATTGATCATTCTACTGCTGATACTAAGTGGAGATATTCAAAAGGAATCCTTCGATATAAGGATAGAGTTTATATTGGAGAGGTTGGATCTCTTAGACTACAGATTCTTCAGACATTACATGACTCACCTCATGGGGGTCAATCTGGGAATCAAGCTACTTATAAGAGAATTAGATCTTACTTTTATTGGCCTAGACTTAAAGCTATGGTGGTCAATTATGTCAAACTTTGTGCAGTATGTCAATAAACTAAGGTGGAACATGTTGTTAAACCTGGACTGCTACTGCCATTACCTATTCCTCAGCAAGTTTGGGAAGTTATCATTATGGACTTTGTTGAAAGATTGCCTACATCTTTAAGGAAGAATTGTATTCTAGTGGTGGTTGACAAGTTTACTAAATATAGTCATTTTTAGCACTATCACATCCTTACTCAGCAACTGAGGTTGCTAAATTATATTTGGATCACATATATAAGCTTCATGGTCAACCTAAAATGGTCATTTCAGACAGAGACAAGACCTTCACTAGCCTCTTTTGGAGAGAACTAATGAAACTCTTAGGAACTAAGACTCTGTTTAGCACTACTTATCATCCTAAAATGGATGGACAAACAGAGTGTGAACCAGTGTTTAGAACAATACCTAAGAGGGCTTTGTTTTTACCAACCAAGCAATGGGCTAAATGGTTGCTACATGTTGTGGTGGTACAATTCTAGCTACCATACTTCCTTGAAACTAACATCTTTCAGGCTATCTATGGTTACAAGCCTCCTACAATGGTTTGGCATACAGACGCTCAAGTAAATGCAGTAGCAGAGTTAATGCGTAGCATGGAAGATATCAGACAATTGGTGAAATTTCAATTATAGCAAGCCAGTAATAGAATGAAGCAGAAAGCTGATAAAAACATATCTGAACGAGTATTTCAAGTTGGGGATTTCGTTTACCTGAAACTGCAGCCATATCGACAGACTTCTCTCGCCCTGGGGAAAAATTTGAAATTAACAGCAAAGTTTTATGGGCCTTATAAGATTATTGAAAAAATTGGAGAAGTAGCCTATAAACTAGACTTACCAGATTCCTCGAGATTGCACCCTATCTTTCATGTCAGTTTATGAAGAAGCATGTTGGGCCTGAAGCAACAACTTTCACAGATCCTCCTGTGATTGATGATGAGGGTCAGTTTCGGGTAGAACCCAGCAAAATATTAGGAAGAAGGATTGTTAATCGACATAATAAACCGACAACACAGTTGCTGGTTGGTGGATTAACCTGGACGAGATGCATGACACCTGGAAGATTATTCGGTGTTGCGAGGGCAATTTCTGTCGTTTGATCCTTGGGGATAAGGATCCTCTGATGGGGCGGGTATTGTCACGGTTGGAGAGGGAAGACGAGAGGGAGAAGAGAGAGGACGAGTGATGAGTATCGAGGAAGGATTAGAAATTGGGGGAAATGAATATTCAAGGGTTAGGGATTGAGATTGAATTGGGAAGTAATTACTTGAGGGAAGGGCACGTGAGGAGCACGAAGGGAATTAAAACAATCACCCAGCAGATCCAGAAGGGTGGTCTTGCAGATACGGGTAGAGCACAGGAAGCCTAGATGAAGCCCAATGCCTGTGATGATAACAAAATTGGTTAGAAGACGTCCAGCTAGCATAATAATTTTATTATGAGTGTATGTAAATAAAATGGCTATGTAAAAACAGAATGGTTATGAAATGAATGGATGAACTTTCTTCTCTCTGAATTCTCTCCTATTTTCTCATCTTTCTTTCAAATTATTCTCTATTTCTCTTCAATCTATAACATAATCTCAAACCCAAAGTGCCCAGTTTGCCAGTTAACCTCAGAAACGACCCTACATATTGTGTGTGCCTGTGAATTTGCAAATATGATTTGGATGTCTCTTCAATTTAATTTGCCAAATTTTAATGTTGTTTGGTCCTTTTACGATTGGATAGTAAGTTTGTGAACCACCAAATTTCAAAGCATAGTGAAATTCTAGTTTCAATATGGGTTATCTGGTATGCGCGTAATAAATTTTACAACGAGGGTCATCACGTCAATGTTAATGGAATTATTACCTTTACCCGAGCACACTGTTAGGAATTTGCTATGGCCCAGGCTCGTGTTAACCCACCGCCCTTTCTCTCCAACATTCGATGGCAGCCTCCGATAGAACCGACGGTAAAGATTAATTTTGATCCTCATTTCATGCGCAGGGAACAAACATCATGGTCAGGAGTTATCATAAGGAATTCAAATTGCCAAATAATGGGAGCATGCAGGCGTCGGTGTAGACACATTACCTCGGCTTTCGCGGTGGAGGTGGCAGCTCAGTCCATGCGGTACAACCAGTGGAAATGGGCTTCCTACATGCGATTTTTAAGGTGATTCTAGGTCGGTCATCCTCAAATCACTTCGCATGAACCAGATTTGAGCGAGATAGGAGCTTGGGTCATCGAAGCAAAGGGTTGGCTCACCTCCCTCCATGAATTGATGTTTCGATTCATGTCTAGAGAAGGTAATCGCGCAGCACATCTCCTGGCGAAGGATACCACGTCAGGCCCTGAAGACCTTTTTTGGATCGAAGAAGGCCCAAGGAGCGTCACCATCCAAACGACGGATGATAGACGTTCTCTCGAACCTCCATAGTCATTCCTCTGAGCCCTGGTTCTGAACAAAGGTTCTATTTTGTGCTTTTTTTCTTCCCTTCCCTGGCGTTCTCTCTCACTGACGATCTTTCGAGCAGGCCAAGGGGTATCGACGTTTTCAGTTCCTGTTCTAGGTTTCATTTTAGGAAAGTAGAGTTATTTCTTTGTTTGCTTTGTATTAAATTCTGCAAAACGTTTTTTCTTTTATTATGTTTTGTGTGCCACAGCCGGCATGCCCCAGTCTTTAGCTCCGTTTAATTCAAGGAATGTTGTATTATCAGATAATAGAAATTTTATTTTTTTTTGTTTGGTTGATCGATAATTTTATTTTTGATAATATTTTATTGTTAACAGTGAATTTTTTTGGGTATATTACTGTGAATGTTATTCTTCTCTTAGGTATTGCTGGATTACCGACGTTTAGATTAAAATGCCCTTAAAAATTTTCTTTCAAAAATATTATTCTTCTGTCGTTGAATAATACAAATTCTACGAATGTTAAATTACAAATTTATCCTTAAACTATTTTAAATTTACAAAAAAAAATCTATAATTAAAATTTTATATAAAGTTCAAGGATTAAAATAAAATTTTACCCTTTCATTAAACATATTTATCTTTTTAATTTTGTAAAAAAATTATATAAATTTTATGAATTTAAATTTTTTTTAAAGAAAATATAGTAATTATAGTAATATTATAGTAGAATTCAACTTGTTAAAAAAATATATATAATAAAGACAATTTGATCAAATATACATTTCAATAATCTTTTATTCATTTAACCAAACACAGTAGTATTATATTCTTGCTAAACCAACCAAATACAAAATACAACATTCCCAATAATCATATTCACTAATAATCTTTTATTCTCACTGATATTCTTATATTCCATGAACCAAACGCACCCTTAGTAATAAAACGTCAACATTTTATTCCCAATGTTTATATAAATTATTAATTTACACCCTATTTTTTTTTTGAAACATTTTACTCTTTAATATTTTAATTTTTTGTTAAAACATATCTCGTTAAATATAAATTTTTAGTTAACTAAAGATAAATCATATTAGTAATATATCATTTGCACATATTTTCAATTGTTGATGTTATACATACCACGTCATTTTTTAATAATATGATATATACAACGTCATTATTTTAATGATGTGACATATATAATATCATCATTTTTAATAATGTGACATTTTCTTGATAGTATGACACATATTTCATCATCACTTTAGATGATATAAAATATATAATATCATCAGTTAGACACATATAAAAATATAATGTCAATTTAAATTGATCATTAGTTAACTAACAATTTTCATTTAACATGATCTGTTTTGAATAAAATAAAATATTGAGAATAAAATATTCTAGAAGGGAAATAAAAAATAAAATGATAATTTAAAAATGGGCTATTTTTGTCATTAAGCCTATAAAAAAAAGGTGTATATATTTTACATGGGTCTAGTTCTTTCCGGGAAAACTCCAACCACCATATTGTACTTCTTTCCACACAAATTTAAACGTAGCAACCAAAGAAAGCAATTTCCTCTTTTCAATCCATCAATGGCAGCTCAATCTCTTGCCAACCCCTACTTCTTTCTTCAACTTCAAACCAAACACTCCATATTAATCGACCATCCGTGATCAGCGTCAAGTCCATGGCTCCGATGGAGACAACAACGGCAACGACGTCAACAACACCTTAGCAGCCGCGGAGACGAACCATGTCTGGCTTCGAAGCTCGAATTTCCCTCGTTTTCGCTCTCGCTTCTCAAGCTTCCTCCGTCTCTCAACGGCGTAAATGTTCAGTTCCGGATTCCATATATTCGAATTTTGTTCTTCTACTTTATGATTTTGAAATTTTGTTTTCCTTGTAGTTTTGATGGACTTGGCCTCGGAGACTGCAAAATACGTGTTGCCAAAGAGGTTTGAGAGCCGGAATTTGGAGGAAGCGTTAATGGCAGGTTAATTTTTGTATTGGGTTCAAATCATTAAATTATGCGAATTAACTTTATCTTATCAAGATTCGTACCAATTAGTGAGTGCCTTGCAATCTTTCATACAACTCTGCTCTGGCAAATTTGTAATGTACCAAAAAAAGGTAAGCGAGTATGAACAAAATTTTTATGTTTAACAAACTAACGAACATGATCATTGGTGTGCTTGGTTCGTTATATTCATGAACAAACTCGTTTAACTACTCGTTTATTGGCTCCTTTAACTATTCGTTTATAAGCTCGTTTACCCTGTTCTCATTTTCCTTTTATTTTTTACATTTTAAATATTGGTAAAAGTAGTGACTAAATTGAACACATGATAGAACTTGAAGTCTAAACTGTGAAGTTTAAGGACTATTGGTGTAATTTTATTATTTTTCTGAACATATAAACATTCTTGAATGTTAACGAATCGAACACGAACCAGGAATGAACACCTTAAAAAAAACAAACAAACATGAATGTAACCTTATTCGTTCAAGTTTGGTTCATTACCCCTATTAAACCTCAACCCTGAACATATAAACATTCTTGAATGTTAAACGAATCGAACACGAACCAGGAATGAACACCTTAAAAAAAAACAAACAAACATGAATGTACCTTATTCGTCAAGTTTGGTTCATTTATACCCCTATTAAACCTCACCCATAGACACGTATAGAACACATCAAAGTTTTATCTTTATATTGTTTTATTAACATTTTCCTCTTGTACAGGATTTATTGGTTTAGTCCCTGATCTTGAGACTGTGAGGTTAAGGTTTTGAGTAGGACAGACCGTATGAGATAAGGGAAGTAGAGGTATGCATTAACTTTTTTGGGTTTTCTTCTCTCTTCTAATTTAATGTTTAGTATTGCAATCTGAAGTATTATGATTGTTATAACAGCCTTATTTTATAGCGGAGACACAATGCCAGGGAAGACAGGGGATTTTAATGGTTCATCTCATCTTTCAATGTTTTAGCTGAGTACTGTTGGTAAGGTAGAAGATTTCCTGCATTAACTTGGAGCCTTTTCTTTTTGCAATCATCTCTTTTAATTTCCTTATTAGATGTTTGATGCACATAGATACAAGCAAGGAGAAAATGGAGATGACTACCCTGTTATTACTAGTAGGACTCGATCTGATGGGCAGAGGATGGAAATGACAACACCTGTGATAACGAAGAAGGTAACAGTTTCTGTTGGGATGGTATGCTTAAACTTTGCAACGTTTCTGGAAAATGTTGTTGTCTATATTGATTTGTAGTTTACTTGGAGTTGTATGTGCATGCATTGCATTATCAAGGGTTGAATATTTTAGTTATTTGTATTTGTTTTGGCATGCTGGGCGTAATCAAGGATAGGATATAAATAACTATTTGTTTTGTACCTTTTTTTACATTCATTAATTGATCCTTATATCTGTAACAACTTATGATATAGGTGGAAAATCAAGATAATGGGCAGATTCTTTATCATGCCATCAAAGTATGGTTCAATCTGCCATTACCTAAAGATCCTTCTGTGAGGATCAAAGAGGTGCCAGGAAAGTAGTTGCAGTTGTTGCCTTCTCAGGTTGTTCTTAACTTCTGTGTAGTCAAAGGCATAATATTTGTTGTTGTCTAGTCACCTAACCGGGTTAGATTTTTCTAAGTAATTTGCAAACTATTAAAAGATAGACAAGTCTAACAATCGTAAAATAAAAATGACAAAGATTTTACGTGAAAAGTTTTTTAAACGGAAAAAAATCACAACAAAAAAGATTAGAAATTCCATAACGTAGAAAAGAATAATACAAGATTGAGAAACGACTTAACTTATAATTCTATCATCTAATATCTATTTATAGGATAAGCTCTTGATTACAAAAAGGACTTGTATAAAAGAATCTAGTAAACTTGCGTATAAAAAATCTACTCAAATTAGGTTTACTACTTTTAATCAACGTCCAATTGTTAAAGAATAGTCATATTTAGATTCAAATAGAGTTCGAGTTACAAAATTTTAATAAAACTTTATCAATCTCTAACCTTGACATGAACTCTAAAAGTTTAAGGGGTTCAAGATAAAAAAAATCCAAATTCGATGAAAATTTCAAATTCAATAAAAAAGTAATTTTCACCTTGATGAACAAATTATCTACTTTGACGAAAAAATTCTTCACCTCTTCCACGAAATTTCTTAAAAGGGTATTAATCAATAATGAATGTCAATCGGATATAAGGTATCCTTGATGACCTTATTAATGTCGAGATTAAGTTACTTTAAAGTTTCAAGCATGATAACTTAATCCGACATAATGTCAATTTTACACACAACGAGCAACACCATGCACAACACGATCTCAATCATTAAGGATAATTTTATCTTTAATCACTAATAACACATTAGCATCATTAAATATTTACAGAGGTCTAGTTTCTTTTCTATGTTTGTTCTTGCCAATTTAAAAAACAATTTTATCATTGGCATTATTAATCTTTGTGGTGAATTAAACTCTATTCTATTTTTTAATTTTGTCATGCATACAAAATTAAACTCTCTTTTTCTTTTCAAATTTGTTATTCTCGTGAATTTTACTTGTTTCAGTCAAGAGGTTTTCATTAGTAACGTTGTCATCTGACACAAAGGAGGAAACAACAGTTGCATCGCTTAAAACAGTTCAACTTTGCAGAACATAAAATTTGACGGCCTTTCTTTATTTTTTCATCACAAGAGGAGAGTTATTGCAAATTTTCATAGCTCTACTTTAGTATATGCACCCTTTTGAATTTAAAGTACCTAGAGAAATTAAATATATATATTTTTTAAATGTGGAACATGTCTCATATTACCAAGTGTTCGAATAATCTTATCAAACATCTATCTTTACCGTGTTAATACCTGTGATTTTACAAGAGACATTGATCCTCTCGAAAAACATCACCTCTATACATAACTTTATACGTTTCAAATCAATATGATTGAGGCTAATGTGGAAATTATTATCAAAGTCGAGAATCCAATTCTCACTTGCTGTGAAACCTTCATTGGAAGCAAATAGAAGTTCAATGCCATCAGTCTTTATTACATTAACTTCTCGCATTCTGTAGTTCTCTCCTTTCTAATCCACAATATCCTCTAGTTTCTATTCTGCAACATGTAGCACTCATCTTTAATATATCCCTTTTCTTGCACTAATAATTTTTTCTCGTTTTCTTGAATTTTGACTTAGTCTGGACATCACTGCTAGAACTTTGTTCTTGAATCCTCCCAAGAATGAAGTGTCATTCTCCCCGAAACTTGAATCTATTCATGAGATGTTGCATTTTATCATGCGAAATTAAAGAATTATAAATTTCATCAACTGTAAAAGATTCAGGACTATACAAAATTGTATCTCGAAGATTGAATAAGAAGGGACAACAAACATAGTAAAATTAACCCCAAGTCTCTTTATCATAATTATCATTCATGGTCTCCTAATTTGAGAAATTTTCTTTGAAGATGGTAAAGTGTTCTACAAAAGACGTGTCTTCTACCAGAGACGTAACTGCTGTCAAACGATGAGAAAAATCGTCGTTTCATATGCAACTTGCTAGTTAGGATTTTTTACATACACAATTTTTCTAGCTTCGCCCACATTGCAACAGTTTTCTCCTTCAACATGTCTTGTAGAATTTCATTCAACGGATAAATGTAATCGTGACAGAGCCTTTCAATCCTTATGCTACTTTTTTTAAGGTCAATGTCGAAGACATGTTTCTAACCCTAACAGAACATCGTCCAAATTAACTGCGTTAGAATTTTTGCGTCTTCACCTGCAACAATACTAGTCTGGTGTTGCGATCCAACAAGAAAATTTATAATTCAAGGATGTTGTTATCCTGATTGAATCAAACATCGGTACCCACTAATACTGATTTTTTTTTTAAATAATGGTAAGTATAATAATCTCACAATAAAAAAGACACCAAGATTTTTACGAGCAAAACCTTAAACTAGAAAATCACAGTTGGGGGAGAAAATGTTCACAAAGTAGAAAAAGAAGAATACAATAGACTTTACGATAACGAATTAACATCTAATCCTAACCTCTAGTATCTGTTTATTTGGGATAAATACTTAATTACAAAAAAATCTACATAGAATAATCTATTCAAACTAAATTTTCTACTTTTTTAATCAACATTCAATAGTACAGTCCTATTCGGATTCAACGTAACTCGAGTTATAAAATTCTAGCACAAATTTTAACAGATAATCCAAGTATGAGTTGTCATGTACGAGTAACATGCACATTGTCACAGATTTTCATTTTGATTTAGGTGGCATATGTTAACTGTTTAGTGAAGCGAACCTAAATATTTTTTTGTTTAAACCTTATGTTATATCTTCATTTTAGATAGTAAAATTATTATTTAATTTCAGTTTAGGTAAAAAGGCATGACATTATACATCATGTCTTTCAATTGTGAAGCTCCCCGAAACTAAAAGTCTTAATGAATTATTGATTATATTCTTGACCAGGTTTGTTACTGATGAAGAAGTTAAACAACGAGAATTGAGATTAAGAGATGCTGAAAATGACAAGCAGCTTCAAGTTAAGAAAGGTGCTTCAGTGGAAGTTGCACAGGTCAGATTATCTTTAATGCTGTCAGTCCTAATAAGTTTGTTCTAGGAGTAACTTCTAAATACATGATTGTGGTTGCAGTACAATCCACCATTTACACTTCCATTTGCACGTCGAAATGAGATTGCGCTGGAACTAGAAAAGAAGGAATAATAGCTCTTGATTATGGATTCTATAACCATAAGGTATGCTTTCTGAATATGCAATGTTTCCTATACCCTTGTTTAATAATCTACCATCTTTAGACTTACAGCCCTTGTTTAATCCTTCTCTATGATTGTTGTACAAATTTGTTCAGCTATCCTTTGAGATTTCAGTCATACATAACACCTTGTGTATATAATAGTGAAGACTAGCAAACTAAGCTGATGGTTATAATGCAGATTTGGTTTGGATTTTTGTCATGTTGAACTGTTAATTCATATACATATCACAGTACATTGCAATTTCTTTTCTGAAAGCAATGGATCTTGTTAATTCTTTAAGTAGGATATACTTGGTGTGGCCAATGTTGTATATTGGCTGTTCTTGTGAAGCTGGTAATAACATTCAAAGATGCACTTCAGCTATCTGAATATGCTTAGCTATGTCCAGTATATTCGGATACGTGTCGAACACTAGTTTAGAGAAAACAGAGAATAGAGATGCCAATTAGAATGTGAATTGCCATATATGGCAAACTTAGTGACATCAATTAAGATGGCTGATTATAACTAATAAGGATGTTGTTCATGGAGGGTACAATATTTGTTATTCCTAGTTGTTGTTGTTGCTGCTGCTGTTGTTGGCATGCATCTATTTGACATACTTCGGTTGCTGCTTTTTTTTCCCTGAAAAAAAAACATACTTTGAATTTTAAGGATGTTCTTAACTTTCATTTATAAAAAGTTCTACTTTCTGTTAGGAAATTCTATCACCAGTTGAAATGATTGAAACTATTGTAATAGTTTAATGATGAGATTGATAAAAGTCACAGTTCAACTGTCAAAGTAGAGTTTACCTTATAATTTAGTAACTATACATGTAATTTAAAGATCATGAGTTACTCGAGATGTATGCGGTTAAAGTTAGGTCAACTCTTGAATGGAATAGACTTAATTCTAGCTCGAGCTCGATTTGTATTCTTAATGAACCAAAACAAGTAACTTGATATCTAACTCGAAAAGCTCGCGAGTAACTCGAAAAAATAGTATGTTAAATTTTTAGAAATATTAAACTAATATTAGTATTTAAATGTTGTTTTTTAAAAAGAAATACAATATAAGGCTTTCACGTGTTTAAGTTTTAGATTTGAGCTTCAATCGAGCTAAATTTAAGAATATTTCGAGTTCAAAATTTTTTAAGCTCGAGTTGAGCTTCAAATTTTGATTCCGAGTCGAATTTGAAAATTTTAAACTTGTGAGATTTCGAGTTGAGTCGAACTTTAATTTTTTATTTTGAGTTCGAGTCGAACGTGATAATTTTAAACTCGTGAGTTTTTTAATCGAATTCAAAACCACTCGAGTTCGACTCAGTTCGTTTACGGCTCTAGTACTTATCGTCATGGCTGATTACTTGGGCAATCCAAACTCTATCAAGCCATCATAAAAAATAAGGCCTTATTTAGAAAGAAATGGAAACTTCATTTGCAGGGAATGGCGCTATGTCCAAAATTGTTGGTGGATTAAACCCGTATACAATCTTAAATAATGAAAATCTAGTAGAAGAAGAATATGTTATTATTATATGTAAATTCTATAAATGCCAAGCAATCTTCCAGGTTTTTAAATCCTTTCTTACAATAGCTTGAAATAAATTTTTTAAAATTTGATTAATTACCTCGTTTCGTCATCCATTTCTAGGTGACAAGTGGTTGAATAAAGTAAGCCTTTAAGGTTGAAATATTTGCAAACTAGTCCTCAAACTTTTCAAAGCTCTCAGTTTGGATCTAAGTGTTATTTTCTACATAATCCCACAAGTCATAGATGCTCTCTAGCAAAATTGAGAGAGAGAGAAAATTGTTGGAAAATAATTTAAAGGGTTATTTAGAATTTGCAATTGAGTTCCCACATATGTAAGTGTTTTATGATATGTTTGCATGTTATTGTCAAGATTATGGTTCCTAGAAGTATATAAATTGTATTTAAGTTATTTATACGTGGAATTAGATCGTAGACTATCATCCTCACGTAGGAATGACTAACCATTTCTAGAAGTAGATAAATTGTATTTAGGTTATTCAACTGTTCAAATTTAAAGTATTAATATGATCCAAGAAGATTATTTTCGTTTGACGTAAAACTCTCTAACGGAGATGAATAAAAATATAAATTAATTGATTTCTTGAGGATCACTACCTCTTTATAAAACTGATTATTGAATTAGCTTTCAAGTATTTATAATTCGGTCATTCGTCAAATTATAAACGCAACTTTTGATATCTACATTTTATTTCCATGACACGCTAATACCTATGACACATATAATATAATTGATCACTTTTCGTATCATACTTTTGAGAGGGTGAAGAACGATGGATTTAGGGTTCAAGAGGAGTAGAAAAATTATGGTAAAAGAATCTTAAAAAATGCAAGCTTCACGTAGTTTGTAACTTTGTAGCAAGTTTTCACAATTATGGGCTCTTAAGTTTCAATACCCAAGGATTGGTATCAATACCATGGTCTAGGTATTGATTGACGTCTTTGCCTAAAAATGCATTTTATTGACTAGTTTTTCGATGTCCGTTTGTATTAATTTTGAAAAATGGTGTAAAAAAGTATTTTTTAAAGTATTTTTGAAAAGTGCATTTTAAAATGTAATTGTTTGGAATTATTGTTAAAAAGTGATTTTAAAAAGATAAAATGTCGTTTTAAATATTATGTTTGTAAATTGAAAATATAGTATTTGAATTATATATATACTTATTAATACTATGATATTTAAATTATATCAACTTAAACTATAATAAAAATATAAAAGAATATTTTATGATAACTTATTAATAATATTTTTGTATATGAAATAATTTATTAAGAAAAAAAAATTCATCGATACATTTTAACATGTGAACTTAAAATTATTACGATTTAGATACTTGCTTTTGAACCAAAAAATAATATAAGTACTTAAAGTAAAAAAATCTTTAAATTTCTACCATTTTATATCTAACAATCAATTTGAACATTATTAAAAACAATTAATAAATAATTATACATGTATGTGTATTAATTTAAAAATCAATTAAAATAAATTACTGAGGATAAAAATATAATTTCAGCCCAAAAATGATTTTTTACGGCTAAAACTAGAAATTTGAGTTTTTGAGGTTAGGTTGAAAAACACTTTTCCAATCATGATTTTAAATCAACTTTTAAGTATTTAGCATTGCTTATGGGATGGAAAATCATTTTTCCATTGCCAGAAACATTCCCAAACTAGCCTGAATCTTCCTTAAATTTCAGTAAATTTTGACCATTTGAACTACATCCTCTTCTATCACTATAGAATAATTTTGTTACTTCAATCTCCCTTTTCAACACTAAGTTTTTTATGTTTACAATTTTATCTCTCCAACTTTGCATTTATTTAATTTGATCCTTCAATTCAATCCTAAATAAATCTTTTCCCCTTTATGATCCATGGTTTGAAGCAACTCTAGTTTTACACTTCCACTCTTGAATTCGCCTTTATAATTTTTTTTTTATTCTAATATTTTTGAAATTTGATGTTGTGGCCTGATTAGATCGATTTTGAGTTGTTACAACGGGATTGGAATATTACAATCAGACACGTATAAAATCGACCTCGAAATAAAATAACCTTTATTTAATTAACATAAGATGCTAATTGGAGATTTAAGAATGCGAGGAACAAAAGATCTTAGGAAGAGTCTATATAAGTTAATGAGTATAAGCCCAAATTTAAGGGATTAATAGTTTTAGTTCATTTTAAACAAATTTGGCCTATTAGCTCAACTCATAAAGTGTAAATTAGAGCATTAAGTTCATCTAGATTTTCTCGTTACTACAAATATAAACACTCTCCTAATAGAAAATATCCATAGGAAGAAAAATAAGAAAAGAAAACTTGCTTCCTCTTTTAAAGTGCTACTCAAATTCTCTTGCTGGCATTTGGAACATTTCTATTAAATTTTTTGTTTTTGTTTTTTTAATTAATCTGGAATAAATGTAAGGAAATGTATATTCAAATGATAACTCTTAACCATTTAATATTGAATGCTCACACCTCTGATATTCATGGTGCTCTAACCCGAGACCTCAAGAAATAATAACAATTCATTTACTATCGAGGTCATTTGATTTGTGCTTTATTTTTAATCATGAATTCAAACCAATGCCAATTATCGATTTCAAACAATTCAAGTTAATGCCATTATTTATTTTATTTTTCTTTTATATATTTCCTTGTTAATTTTATTCACAAATGGTCCCAACAAACAACAAGCTATTTGTTTTATGTAAAGATAATTGTAATATATATATATAATATTTTAGATAAATGTGATAGAGATATCAAATAGATATAAGTGTGGCCATCTAAGTGTCACTGGTCCCTATCGAAGTCCACACAATTAAATTCTCACCTTTCATGGAGGCTTTAATGGAATTGTGGACCTCAAAATGGAATCCGGTCCACCGCATTTAATTATTAATTATGAACCGAGTGTCGGTGGTAAATAAATTGTTGTTATTATTTGAAGTTTCAGATTCCAACATCATTAATGTGAGGGGTAGAAGTGTTTAATATTGAATAATTAAGAATTATCTTTGAACAAATATTACCTTGATCACATACTAATACAAAATGTTCATTGCTAAAAAATTGTTTTCATATATTTACAAAATCCATTCTTACAACTTCCCAAATATATTTGAATATGGTAAAAACAATTAAGAAAATCCATACTAACCCACCCGTTTAACATTTCCATATATGATATTTGTATACACATTAATGATGCAATGACAAGTTCTCATTTTAATTTGTTTTTGAGTTAATTGCATCACATTTTCTCAAATTATGACCTTCATTTTAAGTTGGTCCTTAAATTTTAAATATTTCAATTTCATCCCTAAATTATGACTATCATTCTAAATTAGTCCTCAACCTTTTGAACATTCCAATTTCATCCCAAACTATACATATATATTAGTCACGTCCCTTGTTAATAAAATCACTAGGCCAAGTTATATTATTATATGTTTGAAAAAAAATAGGTTGACCTATGGTTAAAACTAATTACATATTTGGATGAATTTAGTGATAAAATTGGAATATTCAAAAGTTTGGGGACCAGTTTAGAAAGAGTGATATAGTTTACGGATGAAATTAGAATGTTCAAAAGTTTAAGGATGAATTTAAAATGGAAGTCCTACTTTGAGGATGAAATTGGAATATTCAAAAGTTTAAGGACTAATTTAAAAT